TGGGGATTAAGCAATGCACATGGAAGGCAGTCTTTGCCTTCACAGGGCTTAAAATCTAGAGAGAGCTTGGTGAAACAGACACAGAATTTAAAGTCTGGCTCCTTCCCTGCTCTGGGGAAGCATAGACATGGAGCAATGGAAGGAGCTTCCTGGCATTGTCTGGCCAGTCTTCTGCCTCTAAGCGGGATGATGCCATGCCAGACAGACGGAGACTTTTACCATGTTGGACACATCTCCGTGCCTTCCCTTGGCTGCCAATAACATCTCCTAGCCTGGCAGGAAGATTCTTGGGTGTGGGCTTCCCCAAGAAGTAGAAACAGGCCAGTGGGAAAGAGACGTGAAGGCGGACCATGTGTCTGTGACTCATGGAGTTTGAGAGGGGATCGTAGGGAAACAGAAGCTCAGAGAGAACAAAACACCTCAGCAAGGAGGTCCCCTCGCTCTCTGTTCTCCCTGTCGGAGGACTTTCCTTCCCACGCCGAGGCTCAGCTCCGTTGCGGCTGCAGAACATACAGGAGGTCACAGAGAGAATGATTTACCAGCATGGTTTCCTCAAGAGGAAAGACAGAAGGCCTCTGAGGCAATGCCACGTTCCTTATGGGTACTTGAGGTCCTACTTGGATCGATCAAGGAGACGATGGACGACTGGCATGGTCGGTAGAATTCCAGTATGGCTCCTCAGCATTCCTTCCTCTGGTGTACAATTCTGTGTAATCCCTTTCCTCTCACTGAATTTGAGCAGAACTAATGACTGTGGACACCACTCCTATAATTGATGATATGGTTTGTCCAACATGAGTTTCCAACTGAATGGAATTGGGTATTTCTTTATCTTTCTTTCTTTTTTTTTGGTTGGCCATATTGGGGTTTGAACTCAGGGCTTCGGGCTTGTTAGGTTAGTTCTCTACCACACTTAAACAACGCCTCCAGCCCTTTTTGCTCTAGTTATTCTGGAGCTAGGGTCTCCCTTTTTTGCCCAGGTCAGCCTGGACTGTGATCATCCCATTTCAAGCTTCCTGCTGTCACCAGGATAACAGGCATGTGCCACCATGCTCAACTTTTTTCCATTGAGATGAAGTCTTGCAAACTTTTTTGTGTGCGTTGGCCTGGAATAGGGATCCTCCCAATCTCAGCCTCCTGCATAGCTTGGCATGACTGGTGCAAGTCTCACAGCTCCCAGCTATTGGTGGAAATGGGGGTCTCACAAACACCCCCATGACTAGGCTGGCCTTGAACCATGATCCTCCCAATCTCAGCCTCTCAAGTAGCTAGGATTATAATGTGAGCCACCAGTGCCCAGCTGAACAGAGTATTTCTTTTTTTTTTTATTGTTTTATTATTCATATGTGTATACAAGGCTTGGGTCATTTCTCCCCCCTGCCCCCTCCCTCTCCTCCCACCCCCTCAATACCCAGCAGAAACTATCTTGCCCTTATCTGAACAGGGTATTTCTAATCAGCTGATTTTCGAGTTCATCAAAATGGAGACCATGGTGGGTCTGACCTAATCTGGTGACCCCCTTAATGGACCTGTGGGCCATGTGGCAGGGACCAGTGGGCAGCCTTAGTAACCTGAGGTCTCAGTCTTACAATTGCAAGGAACTGGATTCTGCCGACAGCAGTGAGTGTGAATGGAATCCCCAAGCCTTTGTGAGACTGTAGCACTAGATGACGCCTTGGCTTCAGCCTGGTGAGGGCCTACACAGGACTATAAGAAAATAAATAGGTGCTATTTTATGCTGCTCGTTTTTAGTAATTTGTTACACAGCAAGAAATACTCAACACTAACCAACACACCTGGTATAATTTTTGTGTGTTTGTGTGTGGTGCTGGAAATAGAACCCAGGGCTTCACAGATGCTAACTAAGCACTCTATCACTGAGCTCCAACAGGTGTGGTTTTTAAGACCGTGAAGACCCATGTAATACAAGGATTGTGACACCATGGCAGGGCTTCTCCTGGTGCTTAGGCGCCTGTCCCTTGTGCAATGCAGCTATGTCTGGGGACTCATAGCAAGCCTGTGGACCATTTCCCACTACCTCCAGAGTAGGGCTGGACACTGGAGGAGACAGCACAATATCCCCAGGTTTGGGGATTCAGAAAGACACTGAATGGCAAGCTGGGGATGTCCCAACTTACCTGAAATTGTCCCTGGAGATGGTGTGTCCTGAGTGAAGGTGCCTCTGCTGGCCATGGTGGGGCACCCTCCTTCCTGCGGGGAGGAAGAGAGGGCAAGGTGAGGGTTGGGGAGCAGTCATTCCAGCCCCCGCCTTCGGTGGGTTGGGTGAGCAGGAAGCAGGTTGCAGGACTGATGTGAGGGGTGAACTTGGCCTTTGCATCTGTGCCCCTCCTCACCCATGACCCCAGGGAACATGGAAGTAGCAATGCTGTTCTTGCTTCTCAGCCCACTTTTTCGGAGTCTGAGTTGAGGAAGGACATGCGTGTAAGTCAAGGGTGTGGCTGTAACAGGAGCACTTTCTTATTTGCCTTCACAGTCTACACTCCACCAGTGAAGCCCACGCCTTAACATAAGCCTCTTATTTAAATACAGAGCATTCCAAGGGCACCCTTAAATGTTATTGACCATTCACACAGCAGGGGAGTTGTTTTTAGTCCTTTCCTGAGGAAAGTTCAGTCCTCATCCTGGGGTTTGAACTCAGGGGGTCTCGTGCTTGCTAGGCAGTCTACCACTTGAGCCACACCCCCAGCCCTTTTTGCTTTAGTTTGTTCTTTATATAGGGTTCCATGCTTCTCACCCAGCTGGCCTCAGTCTGTGATCCTCCTACTGCCTCCCCAGTAGCTGGGAGTATAGGTGTGTACCACCCCTGGCTTGTTTGTTTTGGGTTTTTTTTGTTCTGTTTTGTTTTTTATTTGTGTGTGTGGTCCTAGGGTTTGAACTGAGGGCTTTGCTCTTGCTAAGCAGGCACTCTATTGCTTGACCCATACCTCCAGTCCTTTTTTTCTGTGGTTATTTTGGAGATAGGGTCTTGCTTTTTGTCAAGGCCAGTCTAGACTGAAATACTCCTATTTTATGCCTCCTGCTGTAGCTGGAATGACAGACTCGAACCACTGCTCCCAGATATGAGATAGGCATCACACTGTTTGTCTGGGCTTGTCTCAAATCATGATCCTCCAGATTTCTGCCTCCTGAGTAGTTAGAATTACCCATCCTGACTTGTTTTGTTTGTTTGTTTTTAAATAAGTATGCCTCCACAGGTTCAACTGACTTGTTTTTTGAGATAGGGTCTAGCTAACCCTTTGCCTTGGCTGACCTCGAACCAAAATCTTTCTATCTCTACCTTGTAGCTGGGATTACAGGTGTGAGCCACTGCTCTTGGCTCTTCGGAGAGGAACATAGCAAAGACCACAGATGGGGGGAGGGCAGAGAGGAGACGAGCCAGGTCCCTGAGCACAAACTGGCTGTATCACAAGTTTTCCTGTACTCAGAGCTGCCCAGGTGAGGCCCCACCAGCCTTTACCCACTGGCCTGGTAGGATGGCTCCCACTACGGAGAGCAGAGGTGACTTGGATGGTGGTGGCCTGCAGGGGCTCTGCTCTTGATGCGTCGTCCATCTTTTTATTGTGTTCCCATTTAGTAAGCACCTACCACGTGGGCCTGGGGGCTGGGAATGCAGAGATGGACAAACCCAAGGCCAACCCTCTGATGTCCTCTGGAAAGGAAAGGACCTCACAGAATGACATGAGTGCTGAGAGGGGAGCAGGAAAGCAGGAGTAGCAGGGGGTGTTGTCTGTTTGTTAGCACTTCTGTTTAAGTGTGCACCAAGGTAGAAAAAAAATAGTGTAATAAGCTCTCCTATAGCTAGCCATTAAGAGGGCTCCAGCCATTTTCTCAATATTGTTATTATCCTGTAGTCTGACCAGCCCACTTCTTAAAAAGTATTTTAATGCAAATTCAAGAAATCATGCATTTTACCCCGAATACTTCCATATTCATTTGAGATGAATTTTTTTTTGGCGGTCCTGGGGTTTGAACTCAAGGCCTCATGATTACAAGGCAGGAGCTCTACCACTTGAGCCACAGCCCCAGCCCTTCTTTTTCCTTTAGTTATCTCTCAGGTTGGGTCTCCAATTTTCACTCTGGTGAGCTTTTAGACCTCTGTTCTCCTACCTATGCATCCCTGTACCTGGGATTACAAGCCTGAACCACCCTCCATGGCTTATTGATTGAGATAGGGTCTGGCTAACTTTTTGCCTGGGCTAGCCTCAAACCTTGATCTTTTCCATCTTAACCTCCTGAGTAGCTGGGATTACAGGCATGAGCCACTGGGTGCCTGGCGATTTTAACTTTTTTTTTTTTTTTGGTGGGACTAGGGTTTTGAATTTAGGGCTTCACACTTGAAATGCAAGCGCTCTTACACTTGAGCCACACCTCCAGTCTATTTTGCTCTGGTTATTTTGGAGATGGGGGTTCTCTGAAACTATTTGCCCAGGCTGGCCTCCAACTGCCATCCTCCCTTTATCTCAGCCTCCCAAGTACTAGGATTGCAAGTGTGAGCCACTGGCTTCTGGCTGATATGAATGTTTTATTTTATTTTATTTTTGTGGTACTGGGGCTTGAACTCAGGGCTTACACCTTAAGCCACTCCACCAGTCCTTTTTTGTGATGGGTTTTTTTTAAGATAGGGTTTTGCCAGGGCTGGCTTTGAACAGTGAATCTCCTGATCTCTGCCTCCTGAGTAGCTAGGATTACAGGAGTGAGCCACCAGCACAAAGCATGAATGTTTTAAGTAACCACCAGACTTCCATCTGCAACACTCCTCTCCAGAATGGAATCCTACATCCTGCCCCTCTAGGGGTCTTGCCAAGGACCTGGCAACTCAGGTCTTATCACACGAGGGGTTTTCAGATGTGATCCCCAAGTCCAGCCCCAATGTTTATTTCTGGATGTCAAAAGCTGGGCAGGAGGCCGTCTGCGCTGATTGATTGATGTTCACCCCCACCACTTAACTGAGCCGGTCCTCCTCTCTGTCCTTGCTGCAGATTGAAATGCTAGAACACAAGTACGGGGGCCACCTGGTGTCCCGGCGCGCCGCTTGCACCATCCAAACCGCCTTCCGCCAATACCAGCTGAGCAAGAACTTCGAGAAGATCCGCAACTCGCTGCTGGAGAGCCGCCTCCCGCGGCGGATCTCGCTGCGCAAAGTGCGGGCACCCACGGCCCAGAGCCTGGCGGCCGAGAAGGCGCTCATGGAGGGCTACGGGCTCATGGGGCTGCCTCTGGTGCGCCCGCCTTCCCTGCCGCCCACCCTCGCGGGCACGCTCACCGAGCTGGAGGACTCCTTCACCGAGCAGGTGCAGTCCCTGGCCAAGTCCATCGACGACGCCCTCAGCACCTGGAGCCTCAAGACCATGTGCTCCCTGCAGGACAGCGGTGCCTACCAGATCCACCAGGCCCTGCACGCGGGTGCGGGGCAGCCAGGCCTGGAGGCCGAGATGCAGGAGCCCGAGAACACCGGCCCAGGGCCTGGGGATGAGGCCACCGAGGCCACTGGCCTGCCCCAGGGCCACAGCGGCACTCTCATGATGGCTTTCCGGGATGTCACGGTGCAAATCGCCAACCAGAACATCTCTGTTTCCTCTTCCACTGCTCTGTCGGTGGCCAACTGTCTGGGTGCGCAGACAGCCCAGGCCCCAGGTGAGCCTGCAGCCGGCAAAGCCGAGCAGGGTGAGGCCCCGGAGCAGGAGGCACCCGAAGCCCCTGCAGCGGATCAGGGGGACGCACCCACTGTGCACACGTGTGCAGAGGCCGCGGTCAGCGTGGCCCTTGGCACCCACCAGCCTGTGACTGTGGAAGCCGTGGTGGAGGAGGCTGTGGCCACAGAGGCAGAGGAGGAAGAGGAGGAGGCAGGGGAGGCAGGGAAAGGGACGGAGGCCGAGGGGGGTGACAATTCGGAGCAGCTAAGCAGCAGCAGCACGTCAACCAAGTCAGCCAAGTCGGGCTCCGCCTCCAAGGAGACCCTGCAGGCCATGGTCCTGAGCCTGCCGCGCTACCACTGCGAGAACCCCGCCAGCTGCAAGTCGCCCACGCTGTCCACAGACACCCTGCGCAAGCGGCTCTACCGCATCGGCCTCAACCTCTTCAACATGTAAGTGAGCTCAACCTGGGCACCCCCAGGCCTGGGAAGGGCGGAGGAGGGAGAAGAGGGAACTTGTATTACAGGGCCCCTCCTCTCCTCGGAGTACGGTTGCCAGGTAGGTGATTTATTATAGCATCCCAGGGCCCTGGCAGGCATGTTTGTGCCATGCCTGATTCCTGAGGTCATGTTTAGGAATGTTTTATTATTCCTTCTGAATTTGTTTTAAGAATCATTAGGGGGAAATAACACATCAAACACAGGGTTTCACAACTATTACTATTTAAGAGAAAGTGAGGGTTTGAAAAGTGAGAGAATTTTAAAAATACAGTGTTGAGTAAATAATAACACGGGTGGTATGAAGATTGAGCAGGACTCATTCAGGAAGATATGGAGTTAGGAAAGAAAACAGCCTTATTTCATAGGGTTGGTGAGATGAAGGACTGGGTGGAGGAGAGAGAGTAAAAATACAGGTAGAGAGCAGAGGGGAGGGAGAGAAGGAGGAGAGCGAGACAGGGAAGAGTGTGAAGTAGGCAGAGGAGGAATAGAAAAAGGAAGGAGACACATGAATTACTGCCAAAACTCAGAGACCCAACCAGACAATTTCTTGTGACCAGAATGTATAGAGTCAGTGCCAAACAGAGGAAGTAAACACGTCCCTCCTTCAGAAATGTACAGTCCATGAGACACTCATTGCTTCCTCCCCCACCTTCACTCCTTCCTTCATAGCTCTGGGCCAGAGCAGGTCTCTCCAGCCCACATGTGTGATCATTTATTCATTCAGTTGTTATTTGTTAGTGCCAAGCACCATGACCACAAAAGTGAGTGAGACGCTGCCTCTGGCCTCCAAGATGCTCATTACTGTCCATAGCTCGCCTGACTTAGAGCACCTTTGATCCTCCCCAAAGTATCTAGAGATAGGTGGTATCTCCCATTTTACAGACTCACTAACAGGCTCACGGGAGAGAGGCAGGTGTTCAGCCGTTGGTATGAGGCAGACCTAATCCATCCATCGATCTTTTTCCAGGTCTGGCTGCCACCTGCTGACACAGCCTAGTGTCCAGCCCACCCCCATGTGAAAACTCACACAGATACTCAGATCCCTCAAGACAGTGATTCTCAACCTAGTCCTAGTGAACGACCAGTTTGATCCCCCACCCACAATGCTGTGGGATGACACGTTTGTAAAGCACAATAAAAATGTGGTTTTTTTTTCTTAGAAAAACAATCACATGCTTGGTTGTCCCAAAAATGTCAAAGTGCTATAAAAGTTACTAAATGCTTAACCTCCATCTCTGTCCTGATCTCCTGAAACAGTAAGGTACAGCCTAGGGAGCTGCATGGGTTTGCAGATACACTGTGAGTGCAATTGCCTTAGGACAAGGCACCCCCTCACACGGAGACTCACCACATAAAAGGGGGAGGGGGGCTGGAGAGGAGGGTTCTTATGTCTACCATGCAGAGGGAAGAGGGGACACGGTGGGAAGATCTCACTAATATTTCTCTCACCCTCCATCCGCGCTCCCCCCCTCCCCCGTCCCCAGGGCAGGCAGCTGCGAATTGAGCTTGGCAGGCCTGGGGGAGCCTTACCGAAAGATCCAAAGGGAGCAAGGGAGGGACAGCACAAGGCAGGTACACCTGCACTGAGTTCTCTGTTTCCACCTTCCAGCCCCACACCCATTCCCACAGTGACGCGCTCAGGTGAGGGGTGCTTCATGGGACCTTCTGTGCAGCAGGAGGAATCCTGGGTCTTCCTGGGAACTTGGTTTCCAAGAGCCTGCAGACAGTTTTATGGGTTTAATGGGCTGGGAGGTAGGGAGCTCACTCTCTACTACTTTCTGCCCACTCCAACCCCTTTGCAGAAACCCGGACAAGGGAACCCAGTTCCTGATCTCCCGCGGCTTCATCCCCGACACCCCCATCGGTGTGGCCCATTTCCTCCTCCAGCGTAAAGGCCTCAGCCGCCAGATGATCGGGGAGTTTCTGGGCAACAGCAAAAAGCAGTTCAACCGCGACGTGCTGGAGTGAGTGCCCCGCGCTCCCGGCTCCTTCCCAGCCCCACCTGCCCCGGCTCTTCAGGGACCCAGAAAGTCTCCGCGGTTTTCCCGGTGAAATCCTTACTTTAGCCCTGGCAGCTTCTGATTGGCTACAGGGAGAAGAGTCACGTGGTCTTTAGCCAATCGCCTCTGCGGAAGGGAGCCTGTGCCTCCCCTTGCGAGCCATTCATTGACTGCATTAGAGTCAGGCGCCATTGCAGGAGCTAGGGATACTTTGTATCAAAGGGGACAAAGTCCTCTCTCCCTGCCACCCTCCAGGGCAAGAGAAAGTGCCAAAAAAGGAAGAGAGTTGTGCCATGCTGGCCCATCTCTGCCAAGAGATCAGTCCTCAGCCCACCTTCTCACTGCCCCCTGTACAGCCCCCAGGCTCATTTTCTCATTGGTGGAGGCCTCACATGAAGCAGACCAAAAGGGTTTGTAGAACAAGAAAATACTATGATTCCATAAAGAGAAATTAATCTACAAAATAGCAACAAAGAAAAGTGTTTTAAAATCGATGGGGGGGCTTTGACTGTTGATACTGGTTCCATCTCCAGAGTGGCAGGATAGGAGTGACTTTTCTCTGGGCTGTGGCACAAAACCTTGGAGCAAGTCTTCCCCGGGAAAGGACCCAATAGGTTGCTTCCCTGCCACTCCCCTGTATTCTTTCTGTCTTCCTTCTTGAAGGTCACCTTTCTATGGGAACTCTCCCCCAGTCCCCTTCCTGTTTCCCTTGGGGACTGTGGGCAGAAGTGTTTCCCCAGGGCTCCTGGAAGAACCTGTCCCTTTTGTACTTGTTCCTGGAGTAGCAAGGGCTTGTGGAGAGGGGGCAAGGAGCTCCTGCTGCCCAAGGGTTGGGGAATTCAGGAGTCCTGTTGGTTGTTAGTGTCCCTGGTGGGAGCGGTCATGGAAGTATGTCACAGAGGGGGCAAGTAACTGTTCTCTGTGTTCCATACCTGGGAGGAGGGGTGTCAGTTAGTGTGGATCAGTTGCCCTCTGAGAGTGGGGTAGGCTGTGTGTGTGGGTAGACCAACATAGCTGTGGTCTCAGGAAACTTACAGACCTGTCCCATCCCGTAATGCTCTGACAGGGTGGTTGTCTTGCTGCAGGTAGCAAAGCAAGGGCTTCTTAGGTCTGTCTGAGGGACCTTGAACTCCCCACAGGCCCTTATCTGGGTAGGAATTGACGCTGGCCCATTGTCTGAAGCTGAGGGCCCAGAAAGAAAGCAAGCAGTTTTCTTCCTGTTCTCTTCTCCTCCCTGTCACCTAGCTGGGTGGGATACCTTGAGGGGATCCACCAGGAAATACCAGGAATCCTGAACATACCAGGCCTCAGTAAGAGAAAGATCACATTGTCTGTTTTGTCCCCTTGCCCTCACCTTTCACCTGCCTTTGCCCTTCTACACCTCACCCACTTCCTTCTTTCCAGCTGCCCCCACTCCCAGGTGACCCTGCTGTGTTTCCCTGCTCTGGGGGAACAAGAGTGGTCCTGCTCCCCTCATAGGCTGTGTGTCTGTTTTCTTCTGCTATCCTCAGTCCCTGTGTGGCCAGGCATTGGATTCTAATGTGTCAGGCCAGCATTGATCTGGAATGTGGGAAAACATGGAGTTTCTGTGCTGAATGGAACAACGAAAACTAATTGTCACCTTCCCTGGGAGAATGAGTAGGGGGAGACCCAGTAAGTGAGCAGGGGTGCCGGCTGCAGGATGCAGGCTCAGACCAGCCCATCACTGCAGCTGGGGACTGGGCAGCAGCTGAGGCAGCCGAGCTTGGAGCAGGCAAGGCTGGACCTGCCTTGGTGTGTGCTTAAATGACTAGGCCCCAGGGGTTTGCCCAGGTTGACACCCCAGCCCTGCTCCGAGGTGCTGTGAGGCTGTGGCAGTCACTTCTGTGTAGACCTCAGTTTCCTCATCTGGAAGGTGAGAGGAGCAAGCAGTGTGATTTTAAAGGTCCCTCGGAGTACGGTGACTTGATCGGTTGTTCCATTCCTTACTTAGCTCACTTATTGAACTTTGATTAACATGGAGAATCATCTGCCTAAATGTCAGAGCAACCCAAATGCTGAGGGTTTGTGGGAGAATGAGATGTGTTATTCATTCAACAATCCTGAGTGCCTACCATGTGTTGAAAATGGAGCTTGGTTGGGCATCCTGTGGGGGTGGGGGTGGAGAGTAAGCAGGGGAGATAGGAATTGCTTATGATATCAGGGAACTTACAGACCCGGAAAGTAAGGGGGAGAGATGAGAGAGGAACATAGAAAGAGAGCCAGGAGACCAGGGCCCTCCCGCTGGCATGCAGGGAGTGGGAAGTGTCAAGTGCAGAGCTGAGCACCAGTGCTGTCTCCATGAATACCTCAGCCCTTAGACTGCAGCCACGAAGCACTGACTTGGTCTCATAGAAAGGAGCCCTATGCCCCAAGTTCACAACTGCCTAGCTTGTGTCCAGCTTGTGGGAGGTGGAGAAGCAGGAAGAGGCAAGATCCAGCAGCAGAGCCAGGATGCTGGGGTCTTTGGTTTCTCCCTGCCACTCCAACCATCCACTTGGAAGCTTGCAGGGCCTGCTACCTCTTTCTCACACACAGTCAGAGAGTCCCCACGGGGCCATTTTCCCAGGCCTGGAAGGCTTCATTGGGATTCTGCACAACTCCCCTGCCCCTACCTGATGACATTCAGTAAGTCGCATCCATCTGTACAAAGCTGTTTGCAGAATAAAAGGACATAAATCGCCGGTCCCTTGGAGACAGAGACAGCCCAAGCCATGGCATCCCCAAAGAAGCAGCCAGAGGCAGGGGGATAGAGGTGGAGCCCCTCTCACAGGGAAGGGTTGTGTAGGGGATACAACACTCCTGTGGGGGGAAGGAAAAGAGGAGGGACCAGCAGAGTCTGTCTCAGCTGCTGACCTGAGGTGGTAGTGTGGGATTTGCTTCCAGGGTCAGCCTCAGCGCTCTTGGAAGCTGATGTCTCTGTGCTGTGGTCTCATTTCCACAAAAGACATTCTAGAAGCAATGTATTCCACCAGGCTTTATCTGACACGATAAAGAGCACAGATCTAAAGGACCATGCCTGCTCCAGGGTGCACCTGCCAAGGATTTGCTATTTGTTTGGGTTTTTTGAGAAGGCACATCCTAGGACTCTGAATCATTTTTCTTAGCGTATATTAGTTGTACAGGGGTTCATTGTGACATTTCCATATATGCTTACAATGGCCCTTGGTTAGGGTCAGCCCCATCATCACTGTTCCTCAGCCCCTCCCCCACTTAAAATGATCTCAACAGGTTTCACTGTTCTACTTTCATACAGTGTATAAAGTACTTCAACCACATTCCCCCTCCTTTAACCTCTCCAGTCCCCTCCCCCTCCCACTAGTCCCTCACCCTCCAACAGGACCTGTTTCACATTCGTGACCTTCGTGTATTTAAGTGTATATTCATTGTTTGGAGGGGTTTTGCCGTAGTATTTCACCCATGAATATATTCTACTTTAATCAGATTAACCTGCTCTATTGCTCTCCCTTCCCCTCCTCCCGTTATTCACCAGCTTTCAGTGCATTCATTGGATCAGCTTCCCACAGAGATGCAATGTATTTCAGCATTATTCAGTCTCTGTCTTTCTCCTTCCCTCTCCTCCCTTCCCCTGGTCCCCTCCAATAGTCCCATCACTGGAAGCATGATATATCTGATCATCTTTGGTTTTGTGTCTACATTTATCTTTGGAATCTATCTTCTACATATGAGAGAAAACATTTGACCTTTGTCTTTCTGAACCTGGCTTACTTAGATTAACATGATCTCCAGTTCCATCCATTTACCAAACAACATAATTTCATTCTTCTTTATGGCTGAATAATACTCCACAGTGTATATACCACATTTTCTTAATCCGTTTATCGGTTGTAGGGGTTTCTGGGCTGTTTCCATAACTGGCTATTATGAACAGTGAGTGCTACAAAAAACATGTGTGCGCAGGTCTGTCTATTGTATCCTGACCTACAGCCTTTGGATATATGCATAGGCGTGGTATCTCTGGATCCTATGGCAGTTCTATTTTAGTTTTTTGAGGACCTCCATACTGCTTTCCATAGTGGTTGTACTAATTCACATTCCCACCAATAGTGTCTAAGGGTTCCTTCCTCACCAGCATTTGTTGTTGTTTGTATTCCTGATGATAGCCATTCTGACTTTAGTGAGGTGAAATCTCGATGTTGTTTTGATTTGCATTTCTTATATGGCCATGGCCATTACGCTATGTGTTTTTAAAGGAGAAATCAGGGCTAGGCTCAGTGGCACACATCTGTAATCCCAGTTACTTGGGAGGCAGAGATCAGAAGGATTAGGGTTTGAGAACATCCTGCATCAACATTAGTGAGACCCCATCTCAACAAATAAGCTGGGTGTCATGGTGTGCACCTGTCATCCCAGCTACTCGTAAGTAGAAGCACCTGCCTACCAAGTGCAAGGTCCTGAGTTCAAACCCCAGTACCATTCAAAAATAAATAAAAATCAGGAAGATGTCATCCTCAGTGTCCACATTTGTAAAATGGCAATGGAAGCACCTGCCTCCTGTGAATTACATGTTGAAAGTACATGCAAACACCTTGACTCAGTGCCTGGGCTTAGAAGTTTCTCTATAAATATTAACTATTTCTATTCTAGTCTTTCCCACTTGACATAGGGAAGTGTTAGAACCCCTTGCCCCCAACTCAGCAGAGGGAGACCTTGAACTCCTCAGTTCTACTGACCAGACAAGAATTTTCCAGGATTGCTGAGGGCAGGGGAGACGGGATAATTCTTTCTGGGGACCATCCTGCACCCTGAGGACTTCCCCTGGGGATGCCAAGGAGAGACACCCTGCTGGCCCAGCCCTAGGAGCCAGACAGCAGCCAGGGTTGGGGTCCTTTGGGACTGGAAGCTTCCCCACCCCTCTCAGTTTTCACACAGCTGGGAAATGTGGCTCTGCTCTAGTTCCTTCCTGACATGTCCGCTTCAGCAGG